AGTGTCTCTGCCCTTGAGAAGGTAGTTGAGATTAAATGATATCCATCTGACAATCCAACTGTCCATCCGTCCATCCATCCATCCAATATTTATTACATACACCTTGGGATAGGCACCTGTGATTAAAAAAAAAAAAGGTGCCCATGGCAGTTGGGTGGAGAAGAGAGATAGATACACTGACATATAATTAGAACACAAAGTGGCCATTGCTAAGGAGAAGTAAGGACCAAGAATTACAAGAATACATGGGAGAGAGGACTGACTCTTCCCAGGGGGCAGCAAGTGGGTCCTGATGGAGTTCACAAGGCAGAGAAAGGCACAGGTAGGAGGGTAGGGGGCACAGGGAGGAAAGGCATTGCAGGAGAAGGAACCATGTGAGAGTCATGGTGGCCTGAGAGGGCTCAGGATGGGGTACACAGAGTGCAGAGGTGGTCAGTGGAGGATGAAGCTGGAAAAGGGAGAGGGGGCAAGAGTGGGAATGGCCTTCACCCACCATCCTGGGGAGTCACTGGGGAGGGGGTGGATTCTGTGCATTATGGCACCTGTGTTTCCGGAAGTCAGCTCTGATGGTGGGGAGGATTGACAGAATGGAGAGGTCACTAGAAACACAAGGGAGACAGATACATGGCAGGACCAGGAACTCACAGCAGGCACCCAGTAACCCTTTAAGCACAAGCCAGCTTCCTGCCTGAGAGACCCTCTTCCGACATTCACTTCCAGCACACGGGCCATCCTGCTCTTGAGAACTGGTGATGTTCCCCTGAGCAATTGCTTTTTCCCCCAAAATTTTCACTTTCCATACTTGAATCCCTGCGTGGGCTAAGCTTCACTGATGCTCTGCGTCATTATGTATGCACCAACCCAATCTCACACGGACATCATCAAAGTTCATTTTGGAGCTACTTCCATTCTACTTTTTGCCCTCTCACGTGGGCGTCCCCTCCCAGGGAACAGCCTTGTGACCTGCATGGCTCATGTGCCAGCAACTCCAGTGGATTGCCACTCAAAGAATTTGTTTTGGCAGCTGGATGTGGAGCCCCAGGTAGCAGAGGTGACCAGAACCTCCCCTAAGGTGTAGGCCCTCAGGGGAGGGGCTTAGAGGAAGTTATTCTGCTCACAGAGTGAGTCCCATCCCCAGAATGCCTGCCCAAGTCTGATGCTAGGATGGCAGCTGCAGATCCAGGAGATCCCGGATATCGTGGGTCTTTGTTGCAAGGAGACCACCAGGAGGAAAAACTGCATCAAGCTCAGGACGCATAGCGGTCACCACTGGAGTGTGGATGCTTGAGTCATGTCTGCCCTAAACTCTGAAGACGTGCTCCCTTTCAACAAATCTCAAATTGTCACCTGATCACTTCCATTGAACACATTAAACGTGCCCCTTGCTTTTGGGTGGCACCATTTGCTTTTGGGGGATGTAGATTTTCATAAAATGAAGGGCAAGAAAACACTCAGCAGATCACAATGATTTCAACACAACGACAATAACATGGGACTGAGAATTTCTCCACAACAATGTGTAAAGTGTCGTGTGTGCACAGGAATTTAAAATTTTTGTTTTCTACATTTGCTGGGTCAAAACCAAGAATAATAAACCCACAAATAAGGCACACTTAGTGTCCATGGGTTCAGCCCAGCAACCCTGGGGAGCTGCAGGGACACAGGCTATGTCCTGGAAGGAAGGACGTCCTGGGTGCTAGAAGATGGCCTTTAAGTTGAAATGAAAGGTCTGCCCATCTGTGATGATTCCAGCCTTTCCTCAAGCCGTTTGTATGGTTGGAGCAAGAAGGAAGCAGGCTGGGACACTGCTTAAGCTCAGTCACCAAGCACAGGCACCTGAACACAGGTCTCCGCTGCTCCCTGACAAAGTACCCAAAGCACAGACCCACACGACAGGCCTGGGCAGATGACCCGAGAGAGTGCCCACACTGTGGTGCGCATGGTCAAGGGACCTGCCCAGGGTGGTGAGCACAGAGACTCCTTAGAGACCAGGCATCCCACAAGGTGCTGACACCCAGACCAAGGCCTTGTTGCTGCTCTAGCAGGCGGAACAGGAAGTGGGGCAGCCTTGAGAAGAAGGCTAGGAGCTATGACAGACAACTCTATTGTTTCAGTTTTGTGACGGATGACAGGAGGCCAAATGATGAGAACCCCTCCACTCAGAACTCTCCATACCTGCTTTTCTGGGGATTCCTTTGGGACTCCATGCTGTCCCATCTGCACCTGCTCTCACCACTTACTAAGGCCCTCTGTGTGCCAGGCGCTGTGCTAGGTGCTCTGCATGCTGTATCAAGAACCTTATTAGGACATCCATTCTGCAGATGAGGAGAACGACCAGCAAATGGGGTGGGAAACTGGCCCAAGATCACATAGAAAGTAGGAGAGCTTCTAACCTAGGCCTTTGACACTTTGCCCTTCACTGTTGGTGAGAGCCCTCCAAGGGCTTCATGGCTGCCTTCTATCACACTGCCTACAGCAGAGTCCAGGAAAGCAAGAGCCAGGTCTCCTTTCCTACGTTTTTTCCATCATCTACCTGGGACGTTCCAGTCTCTTGAGTCCTTGTGCACATAGGTGGCCAGAGAGCTGGAAGCCTTGGTAATGGGGGGGCCTTGGTGGACTGTCCTCCGCACTGGAATTCAAGCAACCAGAATGCCCAAGCTGAAGGAGTCCTCAGAGATAAGCAAGCTCCCCCCATGTGACAGGTGCAAAAACTGACCCAGGAGGACTGGAATTGCCCAGACAGCCACAGAGCAATCAGAAGCATGGTGTATGCATATGTGTGCACACGTGTGGTATACACACGCTGAAGCCGGTGGAGCAGAGGCTAACTCCTAGGCCCTGTGAATGAGTTCAGGAGAGACGGTTCTGGAGCGTTCACAGCCAGAGGAGCAGCAGCCCACAAAGGCCCATGTCCAAGGCTATTTCTAAAATTTGGTTTGTTTAATGCCAGGTAGTTGATCTGGGACAAGTGACCCGTGTGGGAGTGGGGAAATGAGATACAGAAGACAAGAAAGCCAACACAGGGTTAGTTAACGGTCAAGTCACAGTTTTGGGCAGCTGGGGTCACTCCAAGGGGACTTTTGGGAGATGGTATTGAGTGAGCCTCACAGAGACGCTGGCTGAGCACAGCCATGAAGGGACCTCAGCTTCCCAGACTTCTTGCCCAGCAACTCCAGCCACCCAAGAAAGCCAAGGGCTATGAGTGAAGGTTTTCCTAGCTCTGAGGAGACACTAGTTCCCTAAAGCATCTTGGAGACTTTTGGGGTGAAGAGGCCCTGGGTGAAGTTGCGCTAGCAATGGAAGGAGGGCTGTTTCCATGCATTCCAGGGGGAAGAAATGGCTTGAGTCATAGCAAGAAGAGTTGAAATTAGGTCCTACAAACAACTTTCTGGTGACACTAGTGAAAAGGCATACCAAAGGCGTCTAAAGCGACATCCAATCATGCAGCTTGACGGGTGGCCACAAAAGAGATTGTAGAGCAAAGCATTGTGCCTAGAATGAAGCTTCTGCGTTCGAGGCCACCCTATGAGCTCTTCTTCACTTGTAGGGGTGTGGGGAGCGACAGAGAACAGGTGGAGATAGGGCCACGAGAGGGTCCACCCTTGGCTGCTCTAGCACCAGAAGGAGCACCTGTGCACCCCAGGACCAGGTGGAAGTGACAGGAAAGGTCCTTCTTTCCTCATGGTTTGGAGCAGCTCTCAAGGAGGCAAAGTCTTGGAAGAAATCAGTGGTGGAGTTAGCCAGCTGTCCTGTGCCATGGTCACCTCAGCTACTCTGTAAAAGGGGTGGCTGCACTAGATGACCCTGAGGTCCTTTCCAGTCCTAGCCTTCTGTCACTGTCTGCTGCAGAAGCTGCTCCCAGGGCCTTCTGTTCTCTTCGCTTACAAACAGTGTTGGTACAGCACTCACCATTTGCCTAGCCCGTGGGAGAAGATGGGAATCAAATAATATCCAGCCTCTGCCCTCTAGGAAGGAATAGAGGGGGAAATAAGTCTAGTTACTGAGCACTCTCTCTGTGCTGAACACCTTGTACATACAGACTCCTGTTTTCCTCACTATAACCCCATGAGGGAGGTACTAATACACCCATTATACAGATGAGGAAACTGAGACTCAGAGACAAGGAAACATGGCCAACACCACACAGTGGTAGGACTTGAGCCCATGCTGTTAACCATTTTTCATGAAGCAGGTGTCCTAGGAGACAGAGGTGAAAGCTGTAGTCATCCAGGGAGGCTTCCTAGAGGAGTTGGCTAAGCCCTAGGTCTTGAGGGAGGGGCAGACCGTGGAGGCTGATGGAACAGGAAGTACACTGAGTACATTAACTCCCTGTCCTCTTAGTAGGCAGGAGGGCAGACGCTGTGGCTCAGCAAGGGAGGACCAAAGGGGCCCGGGGAAGAACAGAGGCCTCCCTAAACTCAGCAAGGCAAGAGCCCTCCACCTCATAGACCCAGCCCCAAAACGAGTCCACCTGCCCTGGAGGGGCTGTTAGCCAAGCAGGGCCTGACAGTGTCAGTCCCTCCCCAGACTCACTTGGGCCGCCTAAGGACTGGGCAGGCTCTGTAGCAGGGAGAGATGCGATGAGTCAGGCAGTTTTAAGAGCTGTAACTAACTTCAGCCTTCCCAAACCCCCATGAGGTGGGCACCAGTAGTATGCCCATTTTACAGATGGGGAGACAGAGGAGTAGTGAAGTTAAGTAACCTACTTAGGGTCACACAGCTGATCAGAGGCAGATCTCAGATTTGAACCCAAATCCTCGCTCTTAGCCACTGTCTTTCTTCTGAGTAGAGGCTGGCAAAAGCTGTCTGGGAAGTCCTCCCCAAGTTCAGGTTCACCCTTGCCTGGGACTCTTCCCTACCCATCAGAGCCCCTCCCTAGAGGGGACTTCAGGGACAGCCCACCAGCTCCCCTCCCGGGGAAGGCCCATCAGCAGGCAGGTCAGGCCCCACGCCCCGTGTCCCCCGCTCCCCCAACCGAGCACATTGCCTTCTGTTCACAGTGATGGCTCCTGCGCCCAGGCCGGTGGGGGCATGGAGGACTTCGTGGTGGTGGCGGCGGCGGCGGCGGCAGCGGGCAGACCCAGTGCCCATGCCCCGAAGGCTCGAGCCCAGGAGCTGCAGCAGGAGGAGGAGCGGCCGGGAGCGGGGGGCGCCTCCCCAAGGGCTGGCCCCCACCGAGCGGCCTCCCCCGGCCAGCAGCAGCCTGCGCTGGCGACAGCGCTCTGCTCCCACACCCCTGCCGCCTCCGAGTACGAACTCTCCCTTGACCTAAAGAATAAACAGGTACCCAGGGCCTCCCAGGGGGGCGGGGAGGGTGGTGGAGGGCCGTGCCTTTGGGGGCTGTCCAGGGTGCCAGGGATCTCCCTCTCTGGGCACCACGTACAGGCACACCTCTCTTGTCACTGGCCTTCCTCGGAGCCCAATTCCTCAGGAATGAGCCACAGGCCACCCCAAGTCCCATCTGGGGTGGCAGGGATTGTAGCTTGTACTGCCAGACCAGTAGGCATGTGTGCAGGGCCTCTACCCTTTCACGCAGTGCAGGAAGCCTAAACCACCCCCAAAGATCCCTAGGTCGTATCTCTATGACCCGAGGAGTCCCCACCTCTACTTTACCTAGAAGAAAGAACCAAGTTTAGGTCCCCCTAAGCCCAAGGCCCAGCACGTACAGGCAAAATGAGGTGCAGAGACCATGGCCTCTTACAGGTGGACTGAGGATTTTCAAGACTAAGAAACTAGAGTTCCACTATTGGAGAACAAATCCTTGCAGAGGTTCCTGGCCCCCCTCTGCCACTTTGTGATACAGGAGGAGAAAGGGGTCTGGTTCCATGGGGCCCCATGGAACCTAAAGAAAGGATAATGCTAACGTGTGTCTTAGTGGACGACTGAGGCACAGAGGAAGGTCTGTCAGTGTGTGTATGCGTGTAGGTGCCTATGCTTAGGGAAGGATCTGATCATGTGAGAGTGGTAGGGAATAGCTTTGAACTTGGAGACGTAGACATGAAATTCAATTCTTGTTTCTCTATCCCGTGGTCTTGGGAATGCCAGGTAAGCACCCTGGGCTTTGGTTTCTTTGTCAGCAAAATTGGGAATTAGACATTCAGTCCCCTCCACGAGCCCTTCTGCCTCTAGAACCTGTAGGTTCTAAAGAGCTGCTCTTTGATCTACCAACCAAGGGGAATCTCAGGAAAGGAAGGGAGTAGGGAAGCTGGGGCTGAGCAAAGCCAGACTGACCCCATTTCTGCCTCTGAGCATTGATGCCCAGCTGTCATCCTGGACCAGGGGCCAGTGCCAGGCAGTACGCCTGGCTTTTCAGTAAAATCTCTCATGATATCTATGGGGACAAGACAGGAGTGTGTGGATTAGATGACAATATAGTCAGGTGGGTCATCGTCAAGCAAAATTAGAGAGTGAGGTGGTGAGGGGAAGGAGGAGGAAGGGAGAAGGAGGGGGAAAGAGGGAGAAGGAGAGGGAGAGAGAAAGAGAAAGAAAGGGAGAAAGGAAGAAAGGAAGAAAAGAAAGAAAGAAAGCAAAGAGCTGGGCGGGGCACAGGAGGTAGTGTGCCTGTTTGGCAAGTGCAAGGCCTTGAGTTCAAACCTCAGTACTGGGAGGAAGGAAGGAAGGAAGGAAGAGAAAAGGAAAAAGAAGAAAGACAGAAAAACAAACAAAACTGAAAACCAAAAGCATTGATTTGCCTGTGGATTCAATTCCATAGGCCTGTCCATAGGCAAATCTGTCCATTGATTTGCCTGTGGACAGAGCAGGGCACTGTCCTCATTTCTATCCAGTCTTTGAGAAGGCCCTGAAATAGAGGCAAGAACATTACATGTACCAAACTTTCTGGAAGGGAGAACAGCTGGTTCCCTGATGACAGAATCCAAGATATTTTTTAAAATCTCATCAGGACAGAAAGATGGCTTAACTGAAAACCATCAAATGAAACAGGAAGAACCTCATGTTCTGCTCGCAGCCTTGAAGCCCCACTGTGGGGTTTCAGGTGCCTGTGGACTCCTGATGAGTGGACAGCTGGTGACATCTGCCTGTACAGAGCACAGGCCTTCGGCGGCCCTCGCAGCAGGGTAAATAAAGCCCCAAGACCAGGAAGCCACTGCCAGCAGCCTCGTGCTGTCAGGGACTGTCTGGTTCCTGGGCTTGGTTCTGCATTTCAGAGGGAAAGTGAGAACCTGTGGTTCCTGAAGGAAACTAAAATGTTCTGGGGTCATGTGGAGAAAGTGTAAGACAGGAAAAGGAGCTTTAAATGTGAAAGGGCTGGTGTGTGGGAATGATGTATTTTCTATCATTCCAGGCAAAAATAGTGGTGCTGATGGGTGAAAACTGTAGGAAGGGAATATTTTAGACTATTTAACCATTAAAGCCACTAAAAAAATAGAATGCCCTGCTTGTGGGGTAGTGCGTTCTTTCTTACTGGATGATGGGATCTGGGGGTTGGTTGGCCCATGTAAGAGGGTCCTGGCAATGAGACCAACATTTTGTACCCTTCCCCAGTACCCAGCATTCACGGACATAGTTAAGACTTCACTGAGTGAAGTGCAAAGCAACAAGGGAGTATGGTACCAAGGAGAAAAATCATACTTTTACCTGCTCCATAATGACAATTCCATTTAGGAAGTATCCAGTCAATAATGCCAACAAAACAAAACAAAACAAAAAAACCAACTTGTGTTCTGGCAAGAGAATTAGTAGAATGCTGGCCGGTTAGATGAGAAATGGAGAGTTGAGAAGGATTCTGATTGGAATTAAGGTCTAGGGCTGGGTATGGTGGTGCATGCCTGTAATCCCATCTACTCCAGAGGAGGAGGAGGAGATAGGAGGAGGAGATAGGAGAATCAAGGCCCAAAGGCCAGCTGGAACAAAGTTAGCTTAAGACCTTATCTCAAAAACAAACTAAAAGCAAAAGGGTGTGGCTCAAATAGTAGAGCACCTGCTAGCAAGTTCAAGATCTTAAGTTCAAATCCCAGTACTGCAAAATAAGTAAATAATTAATACTGGGCCTAATTCTAATAGAAGGGTTTTCATGCCAGGCTAGTAGGACTGGGTCAGGAAAACCGAGGCTTGATAGAAGATGTAAATCCACTCTCTTGCCAAGTGAATCCAATCTCACAGAGTCATTTACCTCCCCTGGTTTGTGTATTTTTCTAGACCTAGCACAGGCCGGGCTGGGGGGGTTGTGAGGGGAAGAAAAGGGGTGAGGAGGAACTGAGAGGGCTAGAGCAAGTTTATCAAAACACAGTACACATTTACAAGAGACTGAACTTTTCTCTCTGCCAAGGAGCTGTGTGACCTTGGCCAAGCTGTTTAACCTCTCTGGGCCTCAGCTGCCTCGTATTGCTCTCTGGGCTTTTGTCTCTATCTGTGAAGCTCTTACTCCCCTCAACACACCTGCACTTGGCCTCTTGCTTTAGGGCTCAGTTTAGGACTTCTGTCCTCTCTGGCAGCTCCCCTGCCCTCCCAGGGTTGCATTGGTGCCTGGGGTTCCCTGTCATAGCTCTTCAGCCTTAGGCTATCATGTGCTAAATGTGGCTCCTCCTTGAAGACCAGACACAGTGACTTACTCAGTACTATCCACAAGGGCCCAGCATGAGATGCTCAAAGGATGAAAAGGGGGGGAAAGACTCAGTGACATGAAGGGGATGGGGAGGGTGTGAACCCTGGGCCAGGTCTGAATCCTGCAGACCTAGGATTCAGCAGCCCACCCCTGGAAGGAGTCTTGGACAACTGGTCCACCTGCCAGCCAGGCCTCCCCTGCTAGCCAGTCCAGAGCCCAGAAGGGTTTTCCTGGCTCCTCTCTTCCCCCTACATCTGCTCCATCCCTCAAATCTTACTCTCTCCTGCCACCCCCAGGAGGTTATCCTTGCCTCCTGGCTGTGCCACCTTCTGCTGGTTCCTGGGCTTCAGCTCTGGCCCTTCCAACCTTGTCTCCACAGTGCCGCTGAGTCATCTCTACAAAGCACACACTGACTGGTCTATTGCCTTAGTGAAAACCTCTGCAGGCTCCCCATTGTACTCAGTACAAAGGCTTCCCCAGGCTCCCCTGCCAGGACCCAACTCCACAGCAGGGCCCAGCCATTCCTGGGCACCAGCTTCTACCCCCAGGCCTTTGTGACTATTTTTTCCTTTGCTGGGAACACTCCCTGCTTAACCCCAGTACCACTTTCCCTGGGCGTCTCAGCTCACACTTAGATCTCAATCCAGGCTTCCCCCAGCCTGGGTGTGGGCTTTTTACTGAGTGCCTGTGGCTTACTCTGTGTAGTCTGATAGCTGTCACACTCCTAAGGATAAGGACCATGTTGTTCCTGGGCTGTCTCAGAGTTGAGTGGATTGTCCCCTGAACACCTCCACGGGGTGCCACCGGCTTCATAGTCTGTGTGAAGAGCCAGGATCTCAGAGCAGCACACTAAGTACTGCCTTCCTCTTGCCATTGCTGTTCTGTACCCTGTTTGTCCCTGAGGCTTAGGAAGCACTCAGCTTGGAGAGCAGAGAGCAAGCCCGTGAGTGAGCCAATGAGGCTGCTCTTGAGCTTTCTGATTGGCCCCTTCTCCCAGGCCCCTTCCACAAGGGACAAGGTCCTCTCACCCTGCTTCATCTTCCTCTGCTCCCTTTGCCCTGAACCCTGTCGCAGTGATCCTTAGAGTATGAGAGGGAGGGCAGAGAGATAGCATCCCTTTGGGGCACCCTTTAGGAAAGTGACTGTGGCAAGGATATAGAGGACCCAGGAGTGATTTCCAAATTCACTCCAGCTCTTGGGGGAGTTTGCATCCTGTTCTCTGCCATTGCTGCTGAGCAGGTCATCTTGGTCCAAACTGCAGCGCTCTCTGTGCTGGCCACATTGTGGGGGGAGCGGGGTGCATGGAGCTGTGGTCAGTAGCATCAAGTCTCTGCTCCCCCAAGTCGGGGTCTGGGACAGAAGTCATTTTCTGTCCCCCTTCCCAACAGACCTCCCATACCCAAAGGGTGGAGACCCACCATAGGGCACTCCTCCAAAGAAAAGTGCTTAGCTACATTTCCTAGTCACTGTCCCCTCTGGGACTCAGTTTCCTCATCTGTGAAGCAGGGGATCGTGCGAGAGTGTCTCTAAGCTCCTCTCTATTCTGAGATGAGATTCCCACCATGGGCTGAAGGGCACTGGGGACCAGCCTGAGAGGACAGTGGTGAAGGTGGGGCATGGCAGGGGTCCTTCCCTGATCAGTTTGTCCCATCAGAGAACAGTATTGCACAGCTGCTCTGGGTGGAACCCAGTGCTAGACCTGAGGACACCTCCAGCATTC